AATCAAAGATGATTACTTTAATTTCCGCAGGGGGATTGTAGTTTAGACAAGCAGACCTAACTGTTGAAGAGCATGCGTACATTAATGTTTATTTCTACGCGTTAAGCATAATTGATAAATTTCTTATAGCCCTCGGGTTCAAGATAGAAAAATTTTGAAACAAAAAGACCAAGTATGCATATTGAATAGAAACAGGATGAAGGGTATGTTTAGCTTCAGAGACTCCACAAAGTATATTTATTCTCGAGTAGCATCAGATTCGGAATTGATTTAAGCATGCCAGTTTGTCTGTCCATCCGTCCCCGTAATGTTTGTTTTAAACATTCTCCTGACGGTTATCAACTCCAAATTTGGCAGGGACATTGGAAATTCTTGCACGCAGTTTGCTATTGAAAATGGGCTAAATAAATCAAAAATCACGTCTACAGTACCACGTAAACTGAGAACACTGCTGTTTTTGAAAAGGAATAAAAAATTGTTTTCTGGTCATTACTCACAAACTACTATAGAGAAATCTACACAAATTTGAACACATATTCTAGGGGAATAGGCTGTAGTGCCTGTGTAATACTACTGCCTGTAGTGCCTGTGTAATACTGCGCTCCTACCTAATACTACAGTGTGGTAAGGTATAATTTTTTTTTTTAAGATGTTTATAACGTGGAGAAGGTAAGCTCAGAAACCCCATAAGATATACAAATTCTTGCCTAGTTTCAAATTCGGAAGCATGTTCCTCCGTTTTTCTGTCTATCTCTCCGTCTGCGTAAATTTTGTAATAGTTGTGTGGTAAACATTCAGCAAAACTGAAGATGTCATCTACAAATTCGAAAAAGAATTTGAAAATGACTCAAATCGATGAAAGGACGCGCCTGTAGAATCTCGCTACGTCTATGCGACAAAAATGCTGAACATTTGCTTTCCGTGTTTTTGGCTTGTTACTTCATAAAGTACAACGCGAGATAGCTTTTCATAACGTATATTTTAATTCTTAATATGCATAAACATATCGGACCAAAAGTCATATTTTACACCAACACAATCGCTATAATCATCTAATAAGAGTTAACAGATATTTAATGTGTTTATAGCTATGTCATAATCTCGTGTTATCGCACTTTTCCTTTTGCTTTGTTATTCTATGTAAACAACACTGTATAAAACGATTTAAAACTTTCATATGCAGCCGCAATTAATCACAAACCATACCGTAACACTTTGTTTAGAAAATCAAATCTATAGGTTTTACTTTATCTCATTGATTAATTTATTCAACTAATTAAAAATATGCTTACAAAAAATCTTTATATATATAGTGTAGACGATTTGTGTGACTCTCGCTTACAATAGACTGGTTGTTACTGGACAGTACTCAGCTTATTAACACCATAAATAAAATCTATTGCAGCTGATCTGAGTGAAAGGCGAACGTTTGCTATGTATAGACATACAGTGAGCGTAGAAATGGTTTTTTTTTTCTTTTTTTTTTTTTGCTACAAATTAAAGTCAGAGAGTAAAAAATTTATTTTTATGCATATATATTATAATTAAGCTCTATTTACACGAAAGTGAAAGATATGCAGAATCAAAATACCACACACATATACATGGATACATTTTAAAGAATCGAGCGCAATTGGGTTTAAGCATTTGTTCACATACGTTTACGATAAATCCATGGAAATTGCTGATTCCAATCAACTCGAAGCTTGTTGCTTAGTGCAAACTTCATCAGTAATAATTTATGAATGAAATTTGAGCCTACGTTTATTACGTCGCAGTTTTTTTTTTATAGTCTATCAATTTAAAGATTTTTATGTAGATATTATAACATTATTTATTTATAAGTGGAAGGCGACAATTCGCCAACGTGTAAATACTTGCTCCTTTTTTTTAAATTTCACCTTAGTATAGAAATTCTTGAAATGCAATAATTGATGATGTCCACCTGTCGTCATTCAGTTTTTGGAAATGTCCGACATAATCCCAATATTGATCGCAAACATCTTTAAGAAAGCTTAGGATGTATTAAGCATGTCATAGATACTGGGGGTTAACATAACCTCAACTAATCAATTTTATGAAGAATATTTAGAAGATTAGACAATCGACAAGTAAAGAGATTTGAAATCACTCCAATATAGATAAATCAACTTTTTGGTAACAAACGCGTTGTGACCGGTCGCTAGTCATAAGAGAAACCTATGTATCTTTTCTTTATAGTCTTGATGACTTGGCTTTAAATTTAGATTACCGGAGCAAGCATATTTTTCAATATTAATTTTATTATGGAGCAAGAAAAAAATGCCTTGTGTCCAAATGACTTAAAACATTTGATGGTTACAAACTACAAAACTAATTTCAATATTCTAACCGAAACAACTTTATAGAAGCACAAATTCTTTGTGAGTTCAATTTTTTAAAGATTGGTGAACTCGAAAATAACCGCAAATAATTAAATTTATGTAAAGTGTTTAGAGCAATCGCTATTTGATGGCTGCAATCCTCGAAAGCAATCTCAATAGTGACCAATTGGTCAGTATTGGAAGGTAAAACTGTTTGACTTGCTAAGCAAGGATAAAGACGCATCGCGAAATTTTAGGATGCTTGAACATATTAAAAGCTAAACCAAATTTTTTCTCGCGTTCGTGAACGGCTTACGCTAACTTGAGAGATAAAAGTTCGCCTTATTAAAATTATAGAAATGTTAAAGAAAGAAATCAAGTTCCGAAAAATTACGATCTGCTGTGTTGTGACTTTAGATTTAACATTTTATGGTCAAGGAAATCGGACATAATCGAATGCAATACTAATGAATAGCCTAAGCGGTGATTCACGTTGCTTAAAATTTTATACATTTAGTGACTACAAAGTTCGATTATAACCTCAATGTCAGCCCATGAATCTCGTATAGCTTAGAATATTCGATATTTGGTGACTGCTCAATTTTGCATAACAGACGTTTGGTGACTCCAGTGCTCAGATATATCCTCAATATTAACATTTCTGCGGAAGACGTTTACAATTGTAAACTTAATGAGGAATACAAAGTTTGGACGCTATTCTAATACCGCCTAATGAATTTTATGAACACTTAAAATATTACATATTTAATGATTGTAAAGCTTGGACGTTCATGTTATTTAATAATCAGATATAACCCTAAGAAAAATTTACGAAAGATTTGTATCGTCTTCATTAAGAATCCGTGTATTTTTTTTATAAACTCACTCTTAACCCCATTAAATTGCAATTTTCGATTTCGTTCTGCTACCGTATTATAGGTTTTTTTTTTTTCGTTTTTGGATATAGTGGCAGCAAACTGCCAGCTTGTGGGGTAAAAATCCGTTCCGGAACCGCTTTTGAATTAGCTCGATAAGGACCCTTATGGATTGTTGATCCTCACCCTCCCCTCATCTTCGGATAAGATTAGGCGTTCGAATGTCGCCTTGGTGTGGCTTCATACCATAGCAAGTCGTGCAGAAAACTAGCGCAGGTCCTTCATTTTACCTTCACCGTCAACACGCCCGCTAACAGGCTATAATATGTTCCTCCTTAAGCAACTGCAATGACGCGTTCTCTTAAGAGAGATAATGCAAAAATCATTGTGATTTTCAAATGGAAGATAAACGTGTGTATAGTCAATAAACTGAATTGAATAATAACAGTTATGAAGAATGATTATACCATGGAAAGGACTTTGTTAGCGCAATAAATCAAAAACCCGGTTAACTTCGAAGAATAGATTGTAGGGTCTATAAAAAAAATCCTCTTGTAAGGACCATGGTATGTTCACAGAGTGTTACCCCAACACTAAGATAAAATTTTATTAATACATAAGAAAATTATACATCGTTACATTGACGCTAATAGCATCTTATATGTCGATCTAAGAGTCATCTAAA